ATCTAGTGCGGGGCAAAAACACTGCCTGTTCCTCCATTCACTCATTGACTGTAGGAACCAGTTATTTAGCAGATCTTAATAGTCGCCATCTTATTAAGTCTGCCATACATTTAAACAATTACCTTGAAATATTGTGGGGAGGGTGTTGCAGAGGAGGGCTCCATAAAACTTTTTATATCACTGCTAAGACCCTTTTTCATAAAGTGAAGTATAAAAGTCACTAATAATTTTTATAAAGTCTCTTAAATGTGTTGTGTTTAAAGCTGGATTTCAGTTGTACAGTTATTGCACTGCTAGAATATACAAAATTCAATTGGGCTGAATATCCTAAAATATTGCAGAACACAGCACTGTGTACAATAAGAGGATGGCCCTAATATTTTTACACTCTAGTATATTGGAATACAGTTGTTGTGGGTAACAGCATCGAGTCTGAAACATGAAAAAAATTGATCGCCCCATATTTCTCCTAATTACAACAGCTGTGATCAATTTTTCGGTTGTTGTTGTGTCCAATTACTCCCTCGACCAAATCCCCACAGTCCTCTTGCACCGGAGCTGGAGCTGAGCAAATGGGCCACTGCCTAATATTGTCTGCAGCATTTGTGCATGATGCAGAGATTCACTGTGGTGTAAACAGTTTTAATACCAACTCATTAGCTACAACTAATCTCACATTTATCCCCATTATTTGACTTCCAATCTTGAATGATAATGAGACCCTAATTATGCTTCCGTACATGTTTCAGTGTTGTGTTGTAAGCTGTAATTTAAATGATGCAGTTAACACATCTCCCCTGTTTCTCATTCTTTACCTGTTAGTGTCTCAGGGTGTGCACTGTTGTCTAATGTTCTGTTCCTATAGAAAAGCGTATTTATCATTCTTGAACCATGCAGTGAATAATTGGCCAATTATTCAGTAAAAGGAAGTGCAGATTCTGCATAGCATCATGTTCTTAAAATGCAGTAAATTGACAGTGCAGTATAAGCGATCTATCTGTGCCAGTCTTTGACACGCCTTTGTTACTTGTGATATAATATCTGAAGCGCTGGCCAGGTGTTCTTCTGCAGCAAATTTCAGCGGCACAGCCAAAAGGTAACTTACTGTAGACTAACAAAGAAGCTGAAAAGTGAAAACGCAAGACACTGGCAAATAGTGTATGATGATATATGATCCAAACAAACCTACCTCTGGCTCTCAAACTCTGTATCCTGTTGCAATTAATCTCCATAATATTTGCCTGTTCAATACAGATGCTAATATATAATAAAAAGAGGCAAACCTGTTTCCACAAGGCACTATTTGTAATGTTGATTACTTGTCCTGCTATTAGTTTAAAAGTGTCATGAAAGTTTGCCTTAAAGCTTTTTTAACTTTGTCCCTAACTTGATGCCTTCAATCTTGGTGCAAGTCAGAGTGATAAGATACCAGAAGAAGCCTTATAGTGAGAATGTATGCACACAGGAAGGCTCCAGATAATCCTTGCCCACACACACACACACACACTGTGTTTTCATGCCTTGTGGGGATTTTACATTGACTTACATTCATTTCCTGTAGACTTATCCTAACCCTAACCACTACTTGCCTAATACCTAACCTCACCCTAACCTTAAACCATGTTATCATCCTAAAATTCAATTATTTCTTTGTGGGAACCATCCTCTGGTCCCCACAAGGATGGCCAAGTCCCCACAATGTGAGTGTGTTAACAGGCCCCCATAATGTAAGTAATACCAAGACGCACAAACACACAGACAGACACACACACTCCAACGCTATAGTGGACAAAGAGATATTTTCCAATTGGATTTCTTGAGCCCACCCTTTGATGAGAGTCTGCCTATTTCATTGATCTCATATGTTATCTCAACCTGGGATGACCCCCAGTTTAATAATGACACATGGATGAAAAGCCCCTTTAGATGTTGTTATATTCGTCTACCCAAGAAAAGGGACAATGAAAGAGAGAAAGAAAGTTTAACTACTTTATAAACCTGTGAAGTTGCTTTGTGAAGCAGTGCTCTCATTAATTATGCTGAGAAATCCAATTATCTCCCAGCTGCTGGATGTATGCATCCATGAAAAATGAACTTTCACACATTCACAACACTGAATAGAAGTAGGTTTGACAATGATCAACAGAAAACGACCACTTAATGTCAAAGTGATCTAAACCACTTACAATGTGTTTACTTTATGCAGTGTAATTATTTTGTTTTCACAGCCTTTAGTAGGACATAGCTACAGATCTCAGTCCATTTTGTGGCTGGACTGGAAAACGCTGCTCACTCATGATCCCAGTGCAACCTGACAACAGGCTCAATAGTTTTGCAGAGAAAAAGGGTGAAAGATCAGGTTTAAATCAGTTCTGAATTTGTTCCTAGATTGGTATAATGCAAGTAAGACCTAAAAAGTGACCCTACCCTCAGGCTGATGCCACGTAATTACTAGTTTCCTACTTGTAAATAGCATTCATGCCAACATCCAAGTTGTATTTATCACTGGGAAATGTCTTTTTTTAAGCTCAGATACACAGCTGAGTGATAACTGATAAGATAAACCAAACACAGAAAGTCCCAGTGAGGTGCTGGGCCACCACGTGCCACCAGAACAGCTCCACCTTGGCACTGACTTTCCAAGTCTCTGAACTCCCTTCTTCCAACAGATGTTCCCTCATGTGGTGGGAACTGCCATCTTGAGCTACCGGTCACATGAACGTTTGCAAATGGTAAGCCCAGGAATCTTTCCAAGCAGTTACCTTCCCTCAAACATGACTTGAGTGCAGCATAACTCAGATGACCCATGTCTCCATGGTAACAGTAACACCTGCTGACCCGTGCAACCAAATGCCAAAAAGGAGGAAAACATTTGTGGAGCAATCAATTAGAAAGGAAACCTGTTGGAAAAGCAGAGCAGTGAGGATGTCTTAGCCATTCTGTTCTTGGAAACTGTCCAGGGCCTGACTGCTGAGTTACAGAAGCAGCGAGTCCTGCCACAGTGAGAAGCCACAGCTTCTCCTGCTAAAGTGAAATTCTATGCTGCTCTTTCTGTATTGTTGCAGTCTTTGCCAAATTTCCCAAATAAAATATCTGCTGAATTCTTCCAGAGTGAACTCAGCTGAGTGGTTTAACATCTGTCAAAGTCTGTTTGATCTAAGCTATAGTCTTTGACTATGGTGAAACCAGAGTCAGATGTGCAAAACTGACACACACCTACCCACACATACTCAGACAGAGGTTCATCTGAAGTGTTAAATACTGACTGGTAAAACTTGAAAACCTATGTAAACATGTCACTTGTGTTTCTTATTTGTAATTAATGTATATTAAATTTAGAAAGGGGTCCTATTGTGTTGATGTGTGTTATAAAAGCCTAATTAATTTCCTTTGATTCAATATTGGAGGAAAACAAAACAAACATAAATCAGTTCTAAGGGAACAAACACTATGGCTACAGGAAATCTGACTTTTGTCAAAGTATTTGCAAAGGGGCTTTTTTAAATAATCTAAACACCTCTCAACAAAACAACCAACTCACCCCTGTAGCACAGGTATGAGAGGAATTACAATCAAGCTGTCGTTACCTTGAGGCCAGTTGTACTGGTAATTGTGAGAGGATGACAACAGGTTGGCCAGCATTACAACTCATCTTCCTCTGGCTAGCTCAGCACCTGCCTGTTGGCCAGCAGCCTAATTTTTTTTCTGACAGCCTCAGCAAGAATGATTGATGCCCGAAGGCCTCTGATGGTCTGTGTGTCTCGGTGCCAGGCTGCTCTATCCATACAGTGCTCCCTCTTGAAGGTAATTTAAGCTACACCTGTCACTGCACACATTGGCTGCTTGATGTTTCCCCTTACAGGGTTCCTGTCCATAGACACACACTTTCAGAGATAAGCAGGTACTGCATGGTGTTAATAATATTTTGGAAATCGTTATCATTTTGGTGTGAGGGGGGGTTACGATGTAATGTAGTTTATAAAATTTGAAATTCTACATTGTCAGCTGAGGCTGCACAACGCTTGTGGCTGACACCAGGAAATATACCGCTGGCGTCAGGCACAGGAAGTTCCTTGTTTACATTGTTTCAGAGGCACTGGCCAACTGTCACAGCTGAACTATTCTCATGACTCTTTCATTCTAGTTTGTCCTCACACATATCATAAGACCAGCAATATGGAACTGCCTAAGCTCTTTCTCTGTTGTTTGCTGTTGATAATCTCACTACTTTCCTTGTGTATCATGACCCGAATGCTTTGCAGTGTACTGAACTCTTTATCCTCTTTGTATGCCACACACATACACACATCCCTTGTAGCTCCAAAGAATTTTAAACCTCCCAATGCCCTCATACTATTGCATTTTTCATTGGTATTTTAAGCAAAGGGTTGTGAGGTCTTAGAACTCAGCTGGCATTAATTCCACTGAGGCAAAGGGATTCAACTTCTCCCTGGAAAGAGGCTTAAAAGAAACTTCTCCTGGTTCTCCTAAATTCCACCTTTCTAACACGCTGTCATATATTTCTACGTTCCTTAGTGGACAGGAGAAGAATAGATGAATAGATAATTAAATGTAATAAACTAGCAGTTTGTCCTTTTTATTGTCTAACAATCAGCTTAATAAAATATCTTAGTGTGATTTTATTTTTCATCCATATGCAAATTCTAAATTAATTTGACCAAGCAGAGAAGTTGACTAATTGTCTCATTGTTCTTCATGGTTGTGGTCTACGTGCTGTCGGGGGGAGAATTACAGCCAAAGTGAGATCACAAATGCTACTGTGTGGAAAAAGTTTAATGCTTTTTTTTTTTTTAAACTACCATTATAGTGAGCTGAACAGATGAGTGACCAGATATCACTCAGAGACTTTTGAATTAAATGAGACAAGATTCATAAATTAACTGAAAAATTATTAATAAGGTCTAAAGCTTCTTTAGGGTTAAATGAGCTTCTCCAATGGCATCACCATTATTCTGGCCAGTTTGAAGAACCAGTGATTTTTATGCAGTTTGAAGAAAGCCACATCTTTGGAACATTGAAATGGCTGCTGTCTGTGGCGAGCTGACACCCAGAGCGAGGCGGGCATACCCTCGCTCTTTGCAGAAGTCCGAGGCCTTTTGTGTCAACTGGGAGCCCAGGTTTTTGCAGCACCATGGAAACCGAACGACCACGTGGGACATTTCACCGTAACTCCTATCTGCTGTTTCATGGGCAAACTCTGAGCCTCCTTGTATCGTTCCTCCATTCCAGTCATCACCCCCCTCACCTTCTTCTTCCCTTGTCTTCCCCATCACTGCCACCATCCCCACCACCTTGGGCTGACCATTAACCTCTGCCACCCAGAAACCATTATCTGGGTTTTCCAGGTAGCTGGCTTGAATGTCGGCCATGTCTGTGCTCAGCCGCCTCATCATGTAGCTTTCGTAGACATTGTGGCAGCAGTAATAAATAGTAATAAATGAGGCCGACCCATAGACTGCCAAAGAGTAAAGCTTGAAAGTAGGAGCTGCCTCCCAGCACATAGAAAAACTCAGGGCGATGCCAACGTGGTCTTGATGGCTCGTGGCCTTGACGAAGGATGGGTATACATGTTCGAGTGTCCCATCACGAAAAAGTGACATGACAGCATGTTGATCTGAGGGTCTATATTCCCTGATAGAGAACAGAACTGTATGTTTGAGAGAGAGAAAGCAAAAGAGAGAGAGAGAACAAGTGCTCAGTCGCACTAGTCTGCCTATTGTTGAAATAAGACATTCATGTACCAGGCTGAAACAAATAAGGCTCAATACACGTCTTAGGTGAAAATCACCCTTTTCATTTTTAATTTACCACCATGCCACATGACCACGTAGCACCTGGGATTGTTGTATGACAACCTGAGGTGTTAATCACTATTGAAAAGATTATAGCATTGCTTCTCTTTAAATTTTCAACAGTGAGTCATTGTAAGATGTAATACAATTAGGTCTCAGAAGTGCTAATGATGCATCTAAGCAAGGTGAGAATCCTGGGGCAACAAACAAAAGATCATTAGTTTGAATAAGAAGTGTTATCTATCTTCAAGGCATGTCAGTAGTGCCAGCCATTTACACCCTAGCTGTCTTATTATAATTATTTTGCCAGTGTTCACGATCAACTCGACTGCTTGAAAAAGGTATATAGAAGATTAACATGATAAGAACATCAACTCACAATTAGTCTTCTGGGCCATGCCGACGCTTTCCTCTTGCCTTTCACCCACTGTGAAGGACTTAATGCTGCCGCTCCGCCCGAACGCAAGCTACAGATTGTGATAATCAGCCATTCATAAAATGGACTGAAATTAGTCTGAGCATGCTCACCTTTGAGCACACACACACACACACACACACACACACACACACACACACACACACACATTGCAAGAACTTATAGGACTTAAATGACCTTACTACACACTGGGGTTTGAGATTGAGGATTTTATATGAACTTTTACAGTTAGATTGAGATAACAGTCATTTGAGGGAGCATAATTTAAGTTTCATGAAATTAATCACAGTGTGGCTTTGATTATTAAATGTAGTTTTTTAAACTTAATTAGCTTAGTCAACAGAGAAAAGAACTATCACTGGATTTCTCAAGGAGGATGAGCGCAAATCCTGAATATTAAGCAAGAAAACTGAGTGGAATGTGAATTCAAGTGCTTGTATGAGCATTTCATAGATATTTCCAGGTTGAAAACGTCCTTATTAATCTCTCTTTGGGTGCTTCAGTTTTGGTAGTGTTTTCTCAGACTCTGCTGTGGATCTCCACATTGTTTCACCACCACAACATACTGTAAGGTACAAGGAAAATTAATAATGTCTACCTTAACCAAAAGTGTCCTCTGGCATCACTGACAGTGTCTTGTGCAATAACACAGTGGTCCTCTGACATGATTGAATTTCCTCAGCAGGAGAATGGCCTTTACACCGGTTTAAAGGTACATTAATTAACTTAAGATTTTACATGCTGTCTGAGAAATCAAGTGAAAAGAGACAAGACGTGGCATCGCTCTGCTATTCTAGTCCCGACCGTGACAGTCTGCCATTTTCAGCCCTTCTGTTGTTATTCTAGCTTCTCTCTCCTGTGCTTTCAAAGTCAGGTCTGTACCTCAGTCCTACTTGCCGCCCAGCAAAGGTTAGAAGAAGCATGTATTGTACCATGAGGATTCAAACATCCAGACATTTGACGATCCCTCGTCTACAAAAACTCTGAGATTGTGCCTGCCAGACCGAAAAAGCTGCAGGACAAAAATAAAAAAAAAAGAACAAAAGCCAGGTTTAAAGGATCAGACTTTGTACATATCCTCATGCGTAAGCAGACACAAACAAGGGACGCACATACTTCAGATTGAGGGTGTTCCTTCTGTCAACGAACTCTGACTTTTTCCAATCACCACGGTACATGCGCAGTCAGGGCTGTTGCTGTGCAGACTGTCCATGTGGAGACAAACTTTTTGGCCTGCACGTGGACGTCCACACTGCGCAGACCCTCGCAGATCTGTGGAACTGACAAACATTACGTCACTCAACCATAACACATACAAACACATTGAGAGCCGCTGTACCAGAGTGACATTCCTCGTGTGTCCAACACACCTGGCTGATAAAGCAGATTCTGATTCTGATAACGGAAATGGGGACGTGTAGGACATAGAAAACAGGATGTAGTGGGAGGGGCAAAACATGGCTAGGAGCAGCTTACAGTATGGTGACAGTTTGTTTTGAGTTTCACTAGACTCTCCAGCAACTAAGAAATTGGGTAGAGCAGCTTTAAATAACTAGAACTGCCTCATGAACCGGGGGGGGGGCTGGAAGGTCAAGCAACTCTGGAACTTTCTCAACCATTTCTCAAACCTCCCAGGAACACTGTAATCACATTTGATGAGCATGTGTTTATATAGAGGGCGGTATGCAACCCTGTCTTCAAGAAATTACATGTATTATGAAAATGGTTTCCAATTATGCTGTTGTTGTGGCAAACATAATGGCAGGCTGGATGCTTAGAGGAAGTGAATGAAGAGCTACTTTTGTTTAACTGCACTGCAGTCACAAGGATGTTGTTGGGCTGGTTGGTGTGAGTACAAGCACTCACTTCTGCCTTTGTGTGCACACAGTTTTAGTTGTGAATCCACACAGAGCTTTGTGTTTTTGGACCCAGAGGTTTGTGAACTATCAGGATCATTTGTAAGAACAGTAGTGCCAGACGAACAGCGAAGGTGGATTAATGAGTGGGACAAGACATTCAGATGAAGATGGGAAGTGCATCTATGAGTGAGTTTACACGACCACGTGTGTCCCAGTTATGATCAGGTTTGTGCAGTGTCCAGCTTTTTGTTTGCACATGTAAACATCGAATTCTGATTTCAGAAAACTGTATTAGCTCATATCCCGTTCCTGAGAAAGCTCAGGTGGAGTACTCTGAAAGAAACCAGAATACTAGTGCATGTACACATTTTATCCGGGTTTCTGAATGTTCTGTACCATCTGTGCAGGTTCAGCATCCAAGTGACTTGAAATAAACACAAACAATGCTGGCAACGAAAGCACCTCACTTTTGGAGCAACCAAGAGATGGAAATTTGTCTTTCGATAATGAAATGTACTTTAGTAATTTAGATGGGAGAAAGCACAGAAATGCTGACCTCAGATCTGTAGTGGACAAGTTACAGGACGCCAGGATCATAACGTAGGCCAGTTACAATGAAACAAGTCAGATTATGTCCATGAAAACACACTGATGCCATTGAAAGTCACCTAGGTTTATACACTGACATTCTAAATCTGTACATTGATTGACAGAGGTCTGCTATAGGCATTATGTCACCCCATGATCACTATGAGACATTCTACAAGCATTACTTTTAAATTAATAAGTACACACTGAAGCCTTAATCAAGGCATATTTGAACTGTGCCATGAATGAAATACTTCAGCAAATAGTACTTCAGCATCACAGGCGATATTAATTTCGCTTGATAACATTAGCTAAGAGTGCTTCAGAGTTGATTGCACATTGTCTTGGAACAAAAAGTCACAAGGAAACAAAGAACAAAGGTTAAAGTTGCCCAGGAACTGAACAAACTTTATGTTTCACGAGAACCCAGTGAACTGCATCTTTATTCATGCACTTTATTCATGAACTTTATTCTTGTACAGTACTTGTGCACAGGCTTATTCGATATGCTAGTCATAAAGTTATGACATAAAAGGATTGAACCATTACATTATTGTTTTTTTTTTTATTTCCAAATGATTGCTTCTAGAAACACTGAACTGAACCTGACTTCCACTGCAGCTTCATGTGCCTCTGAAGTGCATAGATACAGGGCTGTAATCCTCAGATTTCCACTTAGCTCAGCCGTTTTTCATTATTATGGTAATGCATTGACTCTTGTATAGAACATATACAAATTGCTTCAGCATGTATGACGTGGTAAAATCAGAAAGTGCCTCTGTCAAAGTAAAACATGGATATTGGGTGACACTGGCGAGTTTCACCTGTGATGTGTCGGTTGCAAATGGACTCTATGTGCCGACTCTTTTTTGTGAGGGGTGGGGGCTGGTTCACGTCTGAGAGCTGATTTCTTTTCTCTTTGTAAATGAATACCTTACCCTTTTTAATAAACAACAAACTAAATAATAGGATAGGATGATCTTTTTGCCGCACTACTTGGCCAAAGGCACTCCAAGGGCTGATTGAATATTGTGCTGATATGCTTGCAGGGCAACCAGTCCCGTGCGATGGTAGACAAGGATCACACAGTCAGGTTAAAAGGGGGAGGGGAGCAGAAACTGACATGTTTTGGGTAGTTTATTTACTTTTTCATTTGACAAGTACATCACAGTAGCATCAGAACTGTAGAATACATTGCACTGTATTTAGTGTGTGTAGTGAAACGACTTTTAATATACAAATGCCCTTATAAAACCTTATAATAACTTTATAAAAATAACCCTCAGTACACATGTGTAATAGTGTTTGATGTTTTTACATCAATGTTTTTATATCAATCATGATATAAGGTCATGGTATTGTGGAAATAATAGGGTTTAATATAATTATATTCAATAATTTAAGGGATTTATGTCCACACATACCAATCATTGGTCAAAACATTGGAAAATTTGGCTCATTGATAAAAGCCAGAAATGGCACTAAATGAAAAGCCATTTGGGAGCTGAAAGAGCCGGCGCTTACTGCTGAGCTGAGCTAAATAATCAACTGTAGCTCATTAAGAAGAGCCGGGATTCCCATCACTGCTACACAGCACAGAGAGACATTGGCCATGAGAATATTTTGGTAAATGGTCTAAATGGTCTTATACTTGTACAGCGCTTTTCTATGCATTGCAGCAAACTCAAAGCGATTTCACACTATTTGACCATTCACCCATTCGCACACCAGTGATAACACCAGGGAGCAACTGGGGATTCAGTGACTTGCTCAAGGGCACCACAACATGTGAACTGGACAAGCCAGGAATCGAACCACTAACCTTCTGGTTAGGAGACAACCCGCTCTACCTCCTGAGCCCCACGATAAAGAATCTTGTTGTTTTTTGTGAATCACAATAAAAGTGAAGCAGGACCTGGCATCTC